GCTCTTTGCAGCCAGGGAGAAAATGTCCTATGCACCTTGGTTTATTTCTGCTCCCTCCCTCCTCATCCCTAATCACTGACCACGGGTGGGTACTGAAGGATCAAGTGCCCCTATTCTTGGGACCAGCAGAAAGGGAGGGGCTTTCTCCTGCTCCTTCACTCCTTCCTGCTGCCCAGGGCTGGGCCCAAAGGACAGGGTGCCCCCCACCAACACCCCAGGCCTCTCTGGTTCTGCTCTATGAAGCCACTCCCAAATGTGTCCCAGCCAAAGGATGTGTGTGCTTGTGTCTTGCAAGGTGAAAGCCCTGGAAAAGCCATATTGTGGACTGGCCAAGCCCCACACGGAGTGGGGACCCCTTGGCTCAGCCCTGGGCGCTGTTGCAGTGTGACTGGAGACAGACTGAGTGAGCTGGGTGATATTACTTTAAACTGGTGATCACACATCACAGGCGGACCATCGAGACCACCCAGCACAACCACCACCTGCCCCTGTCAGTGGCCTCAGCTCTTGGGCCATGCCCAGAGAGAAGGCAGTGCATTCCCGCAGTGTGGCTGTGGAGCTCTGGGTCCCACCTGTGTCGCATGCTGCATAGGTGAGGCCTCACGTCTTGCAGGGGCATGCTTAGCTCCTGAGCACTCCCTCCGTGGCGTCACCACATCACATGGGAAAGGTTGGCTGGCGTAAGGTCAAAGCCCTATAGCTCAGTTTGTGTTTCAAAGCAGTAAAGGTTTTTTTTTTGGCAGTTGGCTGGTATGGGAATCTAAACCCTTGACCTTGGTGTTACCAACACCAAGCTCTAACTAGCTGAGCTAACCAGCCAGCTCCAAGGCAATAAACTGTTTCATCAGAGGTTGTAAAGAGACCAGGATTCTGGGTGGTTGGGGATATAGGAGCTCAGATGTTGAAAAGGTGGCCTTCTGGAGGCTGGGGACAAAGCAGGGTTTCGTAGGTCCCTGCATTGCTCAGTCACAGGTCACTGGCATAATAAAAGTACCAAGATAGAACCCAGCTTCTGGCTTCATTACATTTCATGTTTCCTCTCTTCCTGGCTTTTACATAAAGATGTTTTCTTCTATATCAAGAAAAATCTTTTGTCTCCACTGATTTTTGTTTCTAGTGAGTTTCATAACGTTAAACAACTCATTAACAGATATTACCCTAACCTCGCTACTCTGACACTTTCCATGTTTTTGTATTTCCTTCTGATACTTTTCCTTTAAGTGGGTGTCACATGGCTTGTCAACACAGTGTTCTCGCACTCTGCTGATATTTATTCACCACGTTGTAAATATTTTCCATGTTCAAAGTGGTGTTGGTGGTGTTTGGCGCTGGTAGGTGTGGATCTGCGGTAACCTCCCTGCACACACGGGGTTAGCAGTCGTGTGCCTGGTGTAGGAGGGCACGTGCTGGCTGCTGTGGGACAGCCAGGCGCGCCCTCACCCAGCCAGACCCGCTTCCTCAGCAGTGTCTTCTTTCTTAAACATAGGCCAATTTAGTAAAAGTGTAAGATGGTATCTGTTTTTTTAAGATAAATTTTATTGTATATATTTAAGGTATACAACATGATGTTATGGGTTACATATAGACAGTAAACGGGCCACTGCAGTAAAGCAAACTAGCACCACAGCTCGCCTACTGACCTTTTCTATGTGTTTTTGTGGCAAGAGCAGCTGAAATCTACTCATTTAGCATGAACCCCACACGCAGCCCTTGCGTGGTGCGTTAGCTCTCCAGACGTGTTTGGTGTCTTGCGGTTCTGGTTTTCATGTCTTGCGCTGGGGACCATTCAGCACTGTGCTCATGTCTGCTCTTTCAGATCCGAAGGACATCAGGTGCTCCTCCACCCTGCTGACGGTAAGGACCCACTCTCTGTTTCCGGTTGTCCTGGAACAGTGTGCTGTTTGCCAGGTGTTCTGGTGACTCCCGGCCTGGCCCTGGCTGTGCAGTGTCAGTGGGACACAAAGGAAGTGTTGACACAAGTCCCACCCTCAAAATGTCAGCCTTTCCAGAAAAAGATAATGATAACCTTATCACAAAAACCTAGACAAGAGGTTTGATGCAGTCCTGATTGAGGACAGTCATGCTGAGGGTAATCACAGGTCAGGGTCTGGCCACACCTCCCCAGGAGTGGGGACCTCCTGGCTTTCCTCTCAGTGGGAGCCTCAGTGTGACTGGAGAAAAATGCACAGGTGAGGTGGCTACATTACTTTAAGTTGGTGGCCATAACGTCTGCCCAGCACACTGACCATGATTCCTTGGTCAGTTTAATTGCAGCCATCCCTTGTCCCCTCTAACCTCTGCTCACACTTGGCTGGCGAGTGTCCCTGCAATCAGGGCAGGTGGTGGCATCTGCCACTGTGATGGAGTGCTTGCCCTGCCTGCCCACCTCTGCAGCTGTGTCTTCTGCCCTCCTGGGGTCACTGTCAGCGAAGTGCCCTGCTGCACCTAAGGCCAGCCCCTGGCACTAGTCCTCTCCCCCCCTCATGGCCTACTGCAGTCACCTCTCTCCAGCACCACCACCCCTCCTGCAGCATTGATGACCACCCTAGAGTCAAGTCCCTTGCGCCCTGCTCTGGGGGCTCACCTCCTGTCCTCAGACCTCCACTACTCCACTGAAATGGCCCCACAAGGTCCCCAGAATATCATCTGGCCACATGGTGTGGCCACGCTCTGGTCTCACCCCACTTGACCTTGCACCAGCATTTGATGTGGCTGTCCCCTCACCCTGTGAAGTGCCCCTTTCCTGTGCTTCCAGTCACCAGCCCTCCTGTTGTGTTTGTGAGTGCAGAGTGCTGTGCTGTCCACACACCAGAGCCCCAAGTGTGGGGGCACCCCAGCCTGCTCCCTTCACTTGGGAGAGCTCCCTGGGCTGTGTCATTCAGCACCTCCACAGGTGTTGACGTCTAGTCCCCACTGATGGCCACAGCATGGCCCCTCCCTTGAGCTCCATGGTCATGGATCCCGCTGCCACCTGACCTTGCTCAGAAGTATTGTCTGTCTTCCCAGACTTAACCCAGCCAGAGCAGATCTCTCGGTTTCACCACCGAGCTCACAAAGACCCTGACATGCCCCATTGTGGTCAGGAACTGCTGTCTGCCCCTCGACAGGTCCAACCCCCAGGAGTCACCCCAGCTCCTCCTGCCCTCAGCCCCAAGCCCTGCCCTTTGCCAGCTTCTTCCTATTCTGCCCTCAGTGCGGGGGGGTGTGGGGGAGGGTTGGCCAGAGACCTTCTTGTCACCTCACCTCCCTGCCTGGGCCAGGCCCCCCACCACCACCACTCCTCTGAGCGACTGCTCACCCACCTCCTGCAACAACCTACTTTGTCCCTCTAAAATCTCTTCACACTTCACCTGAGAAGACGTTCTTGAAGCAGAAGTCAGACATGACATGGCATGGCCTTGCTTAATGTCCAGCAGCTCCTGTTTTGCTTAGCATAAAATTCTCTCTACCTGTTTGTTGTCTGTTTCCCCCAGTGAAGTGTCTGGCCACGCCCAGCAGGGTCCCATGGGGATCCCCGCTGAGTCCCAGCTCCTGAAGCAGTGCCTGGCATTGCGCAAAAGGAGCCAGAGAGTTCTCTTTCTGTCCATTTTCTAATTCACTGGGCTTTTGGTACATTTATTTGAAAAGAAGGATTCTGGTACTTCATTAAAATTAAAAGTAGGGAAACAAAATTAATTTTGAAAACCACTGCCTTCAGAAGGTTAAACACCATATCATTTTTTAAAAATTATACTTGATATTTTAGAATGTTTTAAAAGCCAGTTTTTTGCCATGAGTATTAATTTCAGTCTCCAAGCTTGTACAGATCAATGACATTTTTAGGTGTGTCATGAAATAGCTTAGAGCTATGTGGATTGTGCAGCCTTTAGAACCTAGGGGAACTCTGGGACTGATCTTCTGCCCTGGAACACCTTCTGCCCCTCTAGGAAGGGCTTCTCCCACCCTTTGGTGGTCAGGCCTCAGGATAGGAAACAGGCACGCTAGGGACTTTGGGAGGGGTATGAATCTTCCTCACGTGTAGTTTTTAGGAGTATGAGAGAGCACACAGCATTGTCTCTGCTACTTGTATGTGAGAATTTGCACAGGACATTGTCTCTGCAACTTGTGTGAATTTGCACGGGACCTTGTTTCTGCTACTTGATTGTATAAATCTGGAGCTGAAGCCTGTGTTTTATTTTCCCTTGTTCAGATTCCCTCTGAGCAGTTCACTGAGATCCCACAGTCAGTGCAGTGGGGCACATTGGTCTAAGCAAATGGCTCCTCTTCATCTTTCCTCTTCTTGGGGTCAGTCCCAGAGGGAGAGATTGGCCTGATTTCTGGTGACTTCATCAGCACAAAATGGTGGTGGTTTCCCTGGACCACTCTAGAGATGGCTGGCCCAGGGTGGTGTGGTGCATCCCAGCGTTAGGCTCCTCCTGTCTTTTTGCTCTACACCTGTGCATGACTTTCATGTCCAAGGTGGTCTATCCCAAGCAACTAGAACAGTGCCTGGCAAAAGTAGATGCTTGATAATTATTTGTTGAATGAATGAGTGAATGATTGGTTCAAATGGCTGTTGGAGCTCCAGCCATTACGTTCGTATTCCATCCAGAAGGGAGGAGGATAGGGAAAAGAAGGATAGGCCCCTTCTCTTTCAGGCTACTTAATCGAAGTTTCTCACATTACTTCTGCTTGACTGGCCACACCAAGCTGCGAAAGGCTTTGCCTTAGGCACCCATGTTCCTGGCTGAAGGGCTCTGCTCTGCACAATGCAGTGTGCGTGAGTGCTGGGGAGCAGGAGAGCACCTCTGTCTTATATCTGCAACAGTCGGGGGTGCACCAGCCCGACCATTACCCGAGCTTGGGGTGCTTTGCCCATGCACCCATAGGCACCAGGCTCTTCTGAGCACAAAACACAAATTTGTTTTTAAAAGATATATTGTTTTATTTTCAAATAATATGATCAATAGTTTTTTTTATCCTCCAGATACCTTTTCAGGGGAATGCCTCTAAATATAAAGGGATGGGTCCAACTGTTAATCTTAATAGAGATTAACACATCCACTGTTTTCCCTGTTTCCAGACCTTTTGGACACCTCGTAGATCTTCAGTTGCAGGTCTCATAGGTAGTTTTTTTCTCTCTCAAGCTGAGCTAGTGCCACAAATCTAAATTGCCTGGGCTCTCTAAGTCTTAGAAATTGTTTTATGATTTAGACTAGTGTGAAAAGATAACATCTTCCTGAGTATAGAATAATTCCTTATTTTAAAGGAAGTTCATTTAGACTACTTCATAAACAAAGAACAGTGAAATTTTACCATTAGAAAATTTAAAAATTATTTTCGGCACCATTAATTGTCCTCAAAGGGTTTCTACATAGAACCCTTTAGAAATAATGATCAGGAAATGGTGCCTTTGTTTTAGTGCCCAAGAAACTGCCTTCATTTCTTCATCTTTCCACTGGGTAACAGGAGATAATTTTGAAATGATTCTGAGTTTTGGAGCCAGTCAGTGTAATCAGGTCACACCCTGCCCCCTAGCAGCAGATGTGCATCTTGTGGTTGGTGACCAGGCCATGCTCTCCTGCCACAGTGGGGATTGGGGGGGGGTGTCTTCCTAATCAACCAGCTGACCTAGGGAGAGCCTCTGCTCCTCACCTGTTATAGAAAAACAGTGGCCTATATTACTTCTAGCAGTTTTTTTTAAATTTCAAAACCATTAAAAAAATGTCAAAATCATTAAGGAAAGTTAAATGGCCTTAATTGACATTTTTATGTTTTTTTATACCTCAGTCTTGGCTTCCTCTTCAAGAAAGGATTTTATTTTTGTTTTCTATTATCTGAGGGTCTGGAGCCTTGAGATTAAACTGGTTATCCTATTGTTTTATTTTAAACATTTGTCTTATTTTCTTTCGGTAGCTTTTTAATGAAGATAGTAAATAATCCTTGCTACAGTAAAGTTAGGTTTAATTTCTGGCTGTTGATTGCTCTAATTAAATTTTTTTCTCCCAGCATTCAAAAGGCTATGAGAATGGTACAAACAGATTTAGACTCCAGAAGCAAATCTTTAACAATGAGAAGAACAGGCCTCTGGTAAGTTACACGTGACTTCTACCTACTAGGCTCTCACAGCTGCAGGAAAAGCCCTGCTGCTACACAGGCTGTCCCTCTGCCCCAGTGACATCCAGGGTCTCATAAAAATTGGGTCTCATTGTATTTCTTCAGTAAAATTTGAGTTTGTTCTTATTAGCGGTCTTTGGATAGTAAGCTAAACTTTTTTACATTTTGTAATCAAATTTGAAAGTGATTTATTCATTCAGCAACTATTTGCCAGGATTCAGTGTCCGAGGCACTGCTCCAGGTTGGGGGTGGGCAGGGAAAAATGGAAAGTGAGCAGGGACAATGTGCCAGATGGCACCAGGTGCCAGGATGACAGGAGGAGCAGGTGCTATTTCAAGCCTGGCCGTGGGAGAGGCTTCCCTAAGCAGGTGGCACTGGAGCTGGGCCATGGAAGAAGTGAGGGGAGCGTCTGCAGGTACCTGGGCACAGGGGGTGTCAGACAGAGGGAGCACACAGAGAATTCACACCACGGGACCCAGAGGAGGTGAGGGAGCAGGACATCACACAGGGTCCCTGCCCCCATCTTACAGTGGAGCAGATTGAGGCACAGAGATGCTGAGTGACCTGTCTTGTCGTTGCTGTGGCAGGGAGGCCACACTGCAGGCCCAGCAGGTCCCACCCACGCCTGGCCTTCACTTGCCCTTCCCTGTCAGGCTCTTTCTAGAAGTCCCTTGCGTCACTTCTGCTTAACCAGCTACACCAAGCCAACATTTTAGATTTGGTTTTAATCATTAAAATTATAAGCTTTCTTTTTTTTCCTTTTAAATCAAATAGCTTAAAGGATAAATGTACTAGATATGCTTCTTACTTTTTTCTTCCTTTATTACCTGGGGAAATTTACTTGTGTTGATTGAAATATTGGAAGAGGGAAAAATGATGTCTCATGCATCTTGGTCCTGGGATTTTTAGGGAGAATATAGGTCAAAGTGCTACTAAAATCTCTACTCACTTCTGAGTTCTCATTAAGAAAAAAAAAAATCAGGTCTTAGTCAATGTCCAAATGGCTGTGATTCCTCTCGATGGCTCTGGAGGTGCACCTCTTCCTCTGCACTGAGTCCCGAGTCCTGTGTTCTGCTATAGTCACTGACCCCTGAAACCAGCCCTGGCTGCTGAATGTAGCTTCCCTCTTTCCTTTCCTGGCTCTTCTACAGACATCTGTTTACTAACATGCTGCCAACGAGCCACCTACATACTTAGAAGCCCCAGCAGGTCCTGTCTGAGGCTGACCTGATACAGACATGACCAGGCAGGTGCTGGTCCGTCCTTTCATGTCCCTTTCCACAGGCCTCCGCCCCTTGTCCTTGCTCGTGAGTGAGAGTCAGCAGAGTGTCCCACGAGTTTGGCAGGACAGCTTGTTTGTCCGCTTTCCTGGAGTGACCCAGTTCAGATCTGCCGGGTTCAGGGTGTGGTGTTAGCCAGACCCTGGCCTCCGCTGCTCAGAGAGGGCTACTTGATCCTGTCTTGTGCCAGGCATGATTCGTAAGGGCGTCATGGAGAGATGTGTAAGGGAAGTGGGAGAGGAAGCAAATCCGAGAAAGAAGGGTCTGCTCTGGGGCCACTTTACCGTGAGGCAGACCCACCTCAAGTTCTCCTGGCTTTCCTAGGTGCCTGTCTTGGGATGGGCATAATTTGCCATCCTTGTGGTCTCTTGTCCTCCTTGTCGTTCTTGGCTCCTCTGAGGACTTTTCGGTTGGCTGTGGCTCAAAAGCTGCTGGGCCCCCAAACCCTGGGTGAGCACTGGACGGGCGTTTCAGTGCTGAACGTCGCACCACCTTGCACCCTGCCTTGCATGCCAGCTGGGTGCTCAGCAACCTCCCCTGGGCTGGCCTTTCTCATGGTGCAGCTGCAAAGCACATGGGCCTGAAGGGACGAGAGTCGTGTTTTTAGGTTAGAGCAGTTGCTGTCACACTCTCCTTCATTGGTTCTGTTGTGTGTGCATTTGTTGTTCTTGTTTGTTTGTTTTTGTTTTATTGTTTTTTAGTAGCAGGAAGCCCTTTGCTCTTAGGAAGTGTAAACTGTAAAAGTGGATGCACCCTCTGGAGGAGCCCCGCCCCATGCAGGGCTCCACAGACCTGCAGAGGGCCTGGGACCACAGATGGAAACCTGCTTGTTTAGAGGCAAAGAGAGGGGACACCCTGGCCTCCAGCGCTTGTGTCTTGGTCTGCCCGGTGGTTCCTGGTTTGCTCTGTATGGAGGAGGCTGTGGGGCTCCCCTTGTTTGTTTTAGAAAAAACCCCGTGACCTCACACTATCTTTCCTGTGTCCTCAAGAAGCAAACAACTGGGAGTTGGTGGCTGGGAGCTCTGTCAAAGATAAGCGGGTGTGTGTTTAAGGCCTGCTCTCAACACAGACAGAGCCTTCTGTCTCTCTCAGCAGCTCCTGAAGCACTTACAAAATCAGGAAGGGTGGCCTCAGGGCATCAGGGTATCACCTGTGGTCAGGTGAATTCTCTGTGGTTGCCCTGCCAAGACTGCTCTCTCAGTCAGAGGTTCGCTCCTGGCTAAGTGGACCCTTTTCACTTTATTTCTTCTCTCTGGCTGCATTTCATGCACTGGTTAGCCTACTTTGTGTTTTAAAAAGTCCATGAAATCCTGCAGTTCTCAGCTTGATATACATGGGGCTCACCTGGGGGCCAGGGCTGTCCCCGGAGACTGCAGCTGCTGGGCTGGGGGCAGCCTGGGCATTGGGGTTTCTCAAAGCCCCCAGGAGATGTCAGGCTTGAGAACTATTTATTTAGTCTCCTGAACTGGACACCTAGCATAATTCATGAGAGAAAAGTTTGTTTCTAAGCTCAGATCGTAGTGCTGGGTTTTCATGTACCTCTACAGAACTGTCATTGGGAAGATGTTATGCTTTTACCCCTGGGATTTGTCATCTGCATTTTGAAACATTAGAAAATAAAGATACGGTTAAATGTGACTATTTTAAAGACCAGCCCTCTAAGCCCAAGTCCTGGTCAAGGAAGCTGGTCTCCTCAGAGGAGGTGGCCCGTGGCTGCCCCACGGTCACGTGCTGATGCTGAGCCCCTGTCGGCCTGCAGTTGCTGCAGCCTGCCTCCTGGCTTTCCAAATTTCTGTTCTTCACCAGAGGAGAATTCTCAGTATCAACAGGGAGGGTATGGAATATATTACCATTTTCTTCTCTTTTTCTTTTTTTCAATTTAACTGCATTTTGAATCCAACTTATATAGGTTATAGTGAGATGAATACAATAAAACCTTTCTGATTTTGTGGAAAGTCTGAAATACATAGCAGCCTTTCTTCCAAGTCCTTGAACATCACAGTTCACCCATGAAGAACATTTTAGATCACCCTTGCTTTGACTTGAAGCCCACCCTGGGCGGGGACCACTGTTCTTCACTTTAGTGAACGTAGACTTTATCCCTCAGCAATGTCCAGAATGCCAGAATTCACAAAATACCAGAATTGGCTTATGAATTTTAAAATAATATTATTTCTGGTAATGTATGTTCATTGCGAACTCCTTAAAGAAATACAGGATCGTGTAAAGAATTTCTTATTGACACTTCCATAAAACACATAATTCTACCACTCAGCAGTAACTGTTATTGGTGTAGATTTTAGCTTCTTTCTTTCTAGAAATGGATCCTATAGTTACCTACTTTTATAGGTAAATATTTGAACATTTTTTGAGATCATAAGAACTGCAAGATATGAAGGCACTTCAAAAAATTCATGGAAAGATTTATATTACATAGTTACCTACTTTTATAGGTAAATATTTGAACATTTTTTGAGATCATAAGAACTGCAAGACATGAAGGCACTTCAAAAAATTCATGGAAAGATTTATATTACCTTTTAATTTAATTTTTCCACAAACTTTTTGAAGTACCCTTGTATGTCATTTATATGGATGTACTTTTATATACCAGTTTTTCTCTGTGGGGGTGTGACATCTATTTTATTGTTTTGTTTGTTTGTTTGTTTTTTCACTTTTCAAATTACATTTAGCACATAGAGTACTAGAATTTCTAGCTCAAAGGATTTTGTGTTAATAAGATTTCATAAAAATACATGCTTGCTGATGACTCTAAAGCGACGACTGGGCTGAGATTGTTACCCAGGATCTCCCAAAACCTCTGCTGGAGAAGAGAGTCATCAGGCGGCTCAGCCGTCAGGGATTCTGGCCTCACTCTGAGCGGGACCAGCTGGTAACTCCTTTCCTTTTTTTTTCAATGGGATTCACCCCCAGGACCCAGAGATGCACTGCTTACTGCCATCCGACGGTAATGGCACCCAGCCGAACCACATCGTCGTTCTCCCAGGGGACGGCGGGAGTGGCATGGCCGCCATCAGCTTCATAGGGGCCTTGAAAATTCCAGTAAGTAAATGTGCCTGGGAAGAGTTGCAAAAGGGGCCTCTGTGCTTGCTACGAAGAGGTGTCTGGTCTGTTGATAATTAAGCTTTAAAAAAGGAATCTATGATTATAGAAAATGTGGATTAGAAACCTATAGCATAAGCCAGAAGCTGCAAACCAGTAGCTTCAGGACTGAATATGTCTGCAGTAATGTTTTGTTGCTTCACACTTTGTTTGAATTTTTTTGAAGTTAGTTTTCTCCATGAGAGAAATTTAAATTCAGAAATTTCATAGACAAATGGGGTTCCTGTCTTTACCCGAAGAATAGAAAAAATGGCTGTGCTGGGCCTGCACTGCACATGGTAGTGGTCGTTTTCTCCATGAGAGAAATTTAAATTCAGAAATTTCATAGACAAATGGGGTTCCTGTCTTTATCCGAAGAATAGAAAAAATGGCTGTGCTGGGCCTGCACTGCACATGGTAGTGGTCGGGAGCTGAGGCCATGACCTCTCAGTGGCCCCAGCCCCTCCCTGGTGTCCCTGCCTCCCTGAAGGCCTAGAGTATGAGCCCCGGGGAGGCACTGTCACCGAGTCCTGCTCTGTACCTCAGGAAAGCCCGGCTCAGTTTCCTTTTCCCTTCAAAGTGCCTTCAGTAACACAAGCCATGGTCTGATGGCCCATGCCTGGTAGAGGGGACTGCAGGGAGTGAAGCAAAGTGCAGAAGCCATGGGGACAGCAGAAATGAGCTCCCTCGAAGGGTCCTCAGAACCTGGACCTGGGCTTTGTTTAAAATTCTGCTTGCTGGCCTTCAGGGGACAGCTGGCCTGGCCTCTGGACAGGAAGCATGTACAGTGCCCTTGCTGGGTGATCAGTGTGTGAAGGAGATGCAAGAAAAAGGTGACTTGAAGCAGGTGCAGGGAGGGGTGCCATGGTGAAATTTGTTGTTTTCAACTGCTTGTTTACGCAGTCGTGGACTCCCTCGGCAGAGCATCTGCAGAGCTGTGAAAGCAACGAGGGAGCCACAGCAGGCCACCAGGGCCGAGAACTGAGAGCAGCCCTGCCACTGCTGCTGGGCCCGAGCCTTGGGCGCAGGTAGCCTCACAGAGTGGAGCCAAGTGGGATCTCACACTTGGACCAGGGCAGCCGGGGTGCAGAGGGGTGCTGGAAATGTAAACAGTGCAACCCAGAACCTCAAAACAACGTGGCAGAGATTGAAGGACAGAGAAGGACTTCTGCTTCAGAACAGGAAGTGATGCCAGTGCCTAGGAGAAACTGGGTCTCCAGGCAGAGGAGAGCATGGGAGCCCAGGCCCGGGCACCAGATCGTTGGGAAAGGTCTCTGCAGGCAGGCCTGTAGAAGCTGTGGTTTTAAATAAAAAGTTATTTTTAAAATTGTGTCTTAATACAATTAGTAACTTTTGTGCTGTACTTACTGTGTAGCTGCCCCAAATACTTTTGCTGAAAGTAGGGTGCACACTAGTTATATAAATGAGACTTTTGTGGTAGAGTTGTAGACAGTACAGGCTGTGGAGTCCTGTCCTGGCCTGACCCTCACCCTGCCACTGCCCAGCTGGGTGTCCTGGGCAGGGGTGGAACCTCTCTGAGCCCCCACCTCTTCCTCTGTAACATGGGCCCGTGTCCACTGTAGTACTTGTATGTGACAGCACCGGGCCCAGTGCCTGGTCTGTGGTGAGCGTGTAGTCAATTATACACATGCATCCTTGTGCTGATATGTCGACTGTGAAACATTAACGTGTTTAAGTTCAAAGTGACTTAGGGAAGTCGAATCTGTGTTGTTCGCCCGGTTCTGGTGGCCATTCATGTCACAAACAGCTCGGGCAGTGGGGAGGGGAGGAAATAGGCACCTTCGTGTTATGGGATTTCTCACTCAAACTTTGCAAATGGTATTGGGATTACTATCTCACAAGCCCACGTCTTTGTGAAAGTAGAAATAAAATGGATCACAAACAGACATTTCAGAGAACCCACCAAACCCCAGACTTCGACTTCCTCATCAGTCCCACCTTTCTTGCTCCGTTGCTTTCCTGACCCTGGCTGGGTTTATTCACAGGCAGAGTACAGTAGACCATGTATCTGACAGAGTGGTCAGAATTGTTTTTTCTGTGTGTTTCTGCATCACTGCGTAATTTGCAGTGATTTTAGTTTCAGAGAAAAAGAAATAACCATTAAATCCTCAGTAACTAGGTGTCTCTCCTCCATGCCCGGGCCCCGTGAGAACTTCTTTAATCTAAGTTTCTGAGTGATGGTATGAGAATCAAATCAGTACGTATTTGTATTGACTCTAGTCTGATGTAAAGACATCGGGTTTCAATCTTAAAAGGCATCGTCATGTGCTGGGGGTGAGTCCATGGGTCAGTGCTCCCATTAGTCTCTCACCTTCTTTGCACGCTACAGCAAAACAGTGTCCTCTCCCAGCATGTGTCTGGAAGTGCTAACACCACGCCAGAGACACAGGATATTTTCATGGGAATAAAGTCATTTGTAACTGTGTTGCATAAACCTACCTGCTCAGTGCACACTGGAGGGACACTGACTCACTATCTTTTTCAGGGCGTGATCGAGTTCTCTCTGTGTTTGCTGTTTGCCAAGTTGGTCAGCTATACTTTCCTGTTTTGGCTTCCACTGTACATCACAAATGTAGGTAAGTATCTGTTGCCGGAAACATACATGTTACGTTCTGTGCACTGGCTATGATCTGCTGCATTCTATAGTCTTGGAAACATAAGACCACATGCATGGTGATTTGAGTGGTGTACTTTTTAATTAAACAACGTAATTAAACATAGACAAAGGAGAATTCAGATGTGCAAGTTTTATTGCCATAATAGTAACCTATGTGGGGTTTAAAGGGCCGACACTTTATATGCCAGCTGTGGCTACCAATTCTGTGAGCATTTCCTATTCTGGGGCAGCCCACATTTAAACTAGGGCTACTTGGGACTTTGGATCATAGCAGCCAGTGAGCAGGAGCAGGGCCTCTGGGGATCTGAGCTAATAAATCCTTAATAATATGACCTGGAAGTTGCTTCTGGGAGATGTGTTATAATTTTAGGGAGGGCTGACAGTTTGTCTTACATTTCTGAAAGCCAGCAGTGGCAGCAGCTATAGATTTTGACAGAACATACCAATAAAATAGTGATATGCACTCCCTATCGTGTATGACCCCAAGAAAGACAAGAGTGACCAATGATCCCTCTTAAGCAAAGGGATCATTGAGTGGAGGAACTGGAACGTGGGCTGAAAGGCTGTGGGGATGGTGCAGCATCTTGGCCTGGGGAATGGGGGAGAGCGAGAGGAGAGAGAAGAAACCAGGGTCCTCAGAGGAGATGCAGGCTCTGGGTGATATGGGAAGGGTCTGAAGAGCACAGACCACCTACTGCAACTGCTGTCACACGGCCACCTAGAGAGTGCCATGGGGATGGAAGCTCCAGGATCTTCCAGATCTCAAGCCTTATGGCCAGATGGTGCTTAAGACAGTACACTAGTGCCCAGACATGTGAGGCTCTGTATGGAGGCAGTTTGTCACTGGACCTACGTCTGTCTGTCTGTCTGCATTGGTGGGAGGGGCCTCTGAACCAAAGGTGGGATAATAATTAGGCTGTGCAGGGCAAATTATCAGGATCTGGTTAAGAGTGTTTTTTCATTGTTCATCCTTTCTGTTTCTTTTATTTATTTATTTATTTAATCTGAGTTAACTAATAATTGCCACTTGGCATAAATCCTGCTCCTGGAACAAAAGAGTGTCTTTGTAGGTCTTATTCTGCCTTGTGATGCTAATGAAGAGCACATCCTCATTAATTCACATTCTGTTGTTATTTTAATAGATCACCTTGATGCCAAAAAAGCGGGGGAGCTCTCCACCTTGTTTGATGTGGGTGGGATCTTCGGTGAGTTTGCTGCCACTTGTTCAACTTTGAAGAGAATTTAACAGTGCTGTGAATGGCCTGTGACCTCTTTTGCGTTGATTCACTGCTGAGAGGGAACTGTGTTCCCTGAGGTCTCCTATTCCCTGAGTAGACTCAGCCCTCATCCTGGGGGAAGGTCTCCTCTCTCTCTTCCTGGGCCCTGACTCTGCACTTGAACTACCTTCCTTGAGAAACAACATGCCTCTGGGAGGTGACAGACTCCCTCATCCTGGGGGAAGGTCTCCTCTCTCTCTTCCTGGGCCCTGACTCTGCACTTGAACTAGCTTCCTTGAGAAACAGCATGCCTCTGGGAGGTGACAGACCGGTGGTGTTAGGTGTTAGCACCCTAACAGGTAAAGGGGCTTCAGTGCTAGCCTCAAGCCTGACCCCCAAGACTAGGCCCCCAGGACTGCTGTCTCCAGGTCTCTCCCATCTCATCACAACCAAATGAGGTCTCTCAGGAGGTCAGGCCCACTGGGAAGGTGCCTACCAGTGGTGACTATAAGGAGGCCTCGGGAGAAAGAGGCTGCTGTGCTCCTGGCTCCTGTAATTCTGGTTCCTCCTGATGGCCATGCCCAGGGACATGAGCCCCTGAAGCCTGCCCCTGTCCGTTGCAGGTGGAATCCTGGCAGGTGTGATCTCAGACCGGCTGGAGAAAAGAGCCTCCACTTGTGGCCTGATGCTACTGCTTGCAGCCCCGACGGTCAGTGCCGCTCCCCCGCTGCTGCCTGGCTGTGCCCGACCCTGCAGGCAGCCTCCACACTGCACTGGCCTCCCACCAGCAGCGTCCCTTCCGCGTGGGCCCGGGCTCCACTTTCCCGCATGTGTCGCTGCTCCCCTTTGTGGTTCTCTCCCCTCCCCCAACCCAGACAAGCTCCTGCTCGTCCTTCAGGATCCCTGATGCCTTTCCCACTTCCTGAGCATGGTTGACCCCTCCAATCATCAATAATAATTACGAATACTTGATTCATACTAGATTTCAAGCATTTAGTAGCTCATGACCTTGGGCAGGTTACTTCCCCTCTCTGTGCCTCAAATTCTTCATCTGAAAAATGGGGATGAAGGCAGCAGTGCCGCCTTGCGGTGAGGCTGTGAAGGGTGAAGGAAGTAGTCGCGTGCCCTTACTGTTTCTATTACGATAGTATCAGAGGTAGTAGTATTAGTCACCAGCTTGCACTGTGATTGTTTGCACCTCTGCCTCTCCACTGGGCTGTGACTATTCCTAGAACAAGACTTAGTTTCAGTCCTCCTGGGGCCAGGGACAACACGGCCCAACACAGGCACTCAAAGACCATTCAGTAAAGAAGTGACTGAGTGCAGCCCCCTTGCCCTGAGCACTCCCACGTCATCAGGCGCAGCTGTTCAGGGTAGACAGCCTGAGAACTCCTCAGTCGGACTCTCGGATAAGCAGCTCTAGACCCAGAGCTCAGAGCAGTGGATACGCCCCTGCAGGGCTTCCCGCTGCAGTGCTGGGCCCAGAGCCCGCGGGTCTGGGACAAGGCTCAGTGTCTATGTGCCAAGTGCTTGGCGGAGGCTGTCTTCTGACAGGCTAGGCTGGGGAGTGTGGCCTGCCTTCCTGTTTAGGGGTTTCCACTCTTGGGTCGGCTGCCTGAGAATCAGCTCCTGGCTTTTCAGAAGTGTGGATTCCCGGGCAGTCTTCAGCTACTCGTGGTAAGCCACTGTTACCTTGTGTTTACACCGTTCGCAGCTCTATGTCTTTTCCACCGTCAGCAAAATGGGTCTGGAAGCCACTGTAGGTGAGTGCACGAGGCCCCTCTTTTCTTTCTCATGCAATCTGTCCACACAGCTTGCTGCAGTAAGACACACAAATCTACAAGGGAGCATTCAGCTGGCATAACTGGAGCACATGGTGTGGCTAANATTCCCGGGCAGTCTTCAGCTACTCGTGGTAAGCCACTGTTACCTTGTGTTTACACCGTTCACAGCTCTATGTCTTTTCCACCGTCAGCAAAATGGGTCTGGAAGCCACTGTAGGTGAGTGCACGAGGCCCCTCTTTTCTTTCTCATGCATTCTGTCCACACAGCTTGCTGCAGTGAGACACACAAATCTACAAGGGAGCATTCAGCTGGCATAACTGGAGCACATGGTGTGGCTAAAACAGTCCTCATGTCCTTCTTTGGGTGGGGCCACTGGGAGAAGCTGGGGACACCCCCTCCCAGGCCTCAGGCCTGGCAGTTTGCAGGTTTGCCAGGGAGTGTGGTCTGGGCAGTGGCAAGCCCTGGATTCCTAGTGGGAATGAGCCACTCAGAGAAGCCCGGGGCGACCTGGAGGGCAGCTCCCGCATGGCCTCTGCAGGAGCTGGCCCGGCTGCAGCAGCCTGAGTCCTGCACCCCTGGTGGTGAACACCAGCCAGAGCCGGCAGTGTGACCTGAGCAGTGTTCAGCCTGAGCCAGGCAGGGGCAGGTTCCCCGGCCACCACCTCCCAGCTGGCTTCTGCTAGTGCCACTTGGAGCAGCTGCATCACACTGGAGGACTACTTTTAACGTTCCAGGCAGTGCTATCTCATTATGCCTCTGACACTTGATAAATATTTTTCTGTCCAAACAAGCCAGCAGTGGGGGTTGGGGGATGGGGAATGATGGGATCCCGTTAGAAGTCACCCAGAAAGCAGCTTGTCCATGCGAGGGGAGCCGTGAGCCAGATGCTTCCTCATGGTCATGGAGAGTTCAGGGAAGTGAGTGTGTGTTTCAGAAAGGGATTCGGTAGTCCTGCCAGTGGTGACAAGAGGCAGTGCTTCCTGCTGCAGATAATACTGTGGCCTGTTTTCACACCCACCCGCAGAGACTGGGCTTAGGGTGCATGCTCCCTCTCAGTGGCATGGCCATAGCTGCCACCCATGGAGGGTCGAGGAACCTGAGCGCCAGGCTCTGAGTCTTTGGGAGAGCACAGTATGACTTAGAAAGTTATCGTTCAGCAAGTTTAGGTGAAGGAAGCCGTTTCTGCCTCGTTCCCTGGCAGCTGTCACTCCCTGGGGTTGCTGGGCCTCTTTCCTCCCATCTGCCTGCATTCTGCTCAGGCCAGGCCACGTGTGTGCTGCTGGGTGCCCACTTCATAGTTGCTGAGATATGGGACCCTCCTGGGGGACACTTCTGTTCTAAGTCTCCCTCTGCTTTCCGCAGTGATGCTGCTCCTCAGTGGGGCCCTGGTCAGTGGGCCCTACGCGCTAATCACCACAGCCGTCTCCGCCGACCTGGTGAGTGATTACATGTCTCAGCATGGAGTGAGGGATGAGCGCTGGCCTTGGTCACCACGTGTTCCATTCATGACAAAGTTGGTCTCCAGGAGTAACAGAGTACATATATGAGCACCCTTTCTGCAGGTCATTTACGTGTGTGGTTTGAGGTCTCCCTGCACCTGTCCCCTCTACCACCCTTCTCTAGGGTCACAGCTGTTTAGGGCCACACAAGGCTCTTGTGTACTGTCCTCCTTGTCTCAGGCTTCTTTTCATTCCCCAGAGAAGCAGAGGAAGTCCCTGTCCCTGGCAGGTCAGCAGAGAGAGAAGCTCAGTGAGGAGGGGGCTCTTTTCCTCTTTGTCTCCTCCACGTCATCCACCCAAAGCAATAGGCCCAGCCCTGCCTTGGCCACCTTCGTGTGGGCGTGTTCCTTGAGGTGTGTGATAGCGTGCAGACTTGTGTCTGTGTAGGCGTGGAAAAGCATTACACATGCGTGCACACACAAGCATTTATTTTCTCAAGCTTTGGTTTTTAAAAAAGTTTTAGACTTTTAACCACTGTTTGGAGCTGATTCTTTTTGTCCTCAGTTTGTGCTTTTTTCCCCCAGCCTTATATGTAGCTTTTTAAAAACCAGAGCTCCTGTTGGCTGGTCATTGAGGACTTGCGCCCCTACGTTGGTTTTTTGTGTTCTCCTCTCTTCCCCAGACTCCCCTGGCGTCTGCTGCTGATGGGATTGAATTTTAGATGCTGCAGAGGTGTCTGATCTATGTCATTGCTAGCTGTTGAGGAGTACAGCAGAAACATGGCAATGGCTGCAGTGCTGGCACAGCCCAGGGACAGGGATGTGTGTCATCCTTCCTTTTATCTTCCATGTTGGCTGCTGTGGTGCCTCGGGAAAGAGTTTGGTTGTGCTAAATAAAAACTTCTCTACTTGTTGAAAATCCTAAGAGTTCTTTTGACTAGATTGTGCTTGGACAGGTATTTCCAATGATTTTCGACTCTTAAAAACCCTTGAAATTTTGTTTGCCTCTCCAAGATAAGCTTGGATGGAGTAGTTTGAATTTTCTGATGGAAGATACCCCACGTGTTGGGTTGTTTGTAGGGCGGTTTGAGTGAAATGTCCTCTGGGGGGCGCAGGCTTATTTCTCACGTCTGATGCTGCTGAGACGTGTTTCACGTGTTTTTTTTTTTTTCCTCTCTCTTAGGGGACTCATAAGTGTCTCAAAGGAAACTCCCACGCCCTGTCCACCGTGACTGCCATCATCGATGGAACCGGGTCTGTAGGTGTGTGTGGATTTTTAGTTCTGAGAGGTTTATTGTGGTCATAGGAGAACCCACACTTTCACATCCTAATTAACAGGTGCCAAGGACACCAACTGTCTTGTCAGGATTGGCTGGCCTTCTTAAAACAGGAGCAGGTCTGCAGGGGAAGGCAGCGTGTGGGGACTATCCCGTGCGGTTGGAAGGTTTCAGGGAGATGAGGGGTGCTTGGCTGGAAGTAGCTTTCCTCAGTGTGAAGGGATGTGCACCCAGCTTTTCATCAGCACCAGCAGCTGGTGTGCTGCAGCCCACGGGTGAATCTGGCCCACTCACCATTTATCACCGTCGTTTCAAGGAGGACAGAATCTTACATAAATTTAAATTACAGGAAAGCTAATCAGTCCAAAAGCATACAAGATTTTGAATACTACCAGCCTCGTTGAGGATCTTAAAGAGAATTCAGTAGCATATTCTGGAGTAATGAAGGGGAACAGACAGGTGGCAATTGCTAAAACACCAGGCCTCTTTTTATCAGTGAGTCAGAGAAGTCACAGCAATGGCTTTGCCCCTCCTTAAACCATCATGCATGGACACAGTGACCACTTCCTGCCCGATAGAGACCCAAAGAGCCACCTGTGTTGGCCCCTGCCTGTGCCAGGTGTTAATGGTCACGCAAGCCCTGCAAGGCACCAAGATGCCCTCCATTGTCCCGTCCTCTGAATGGGAGGTTGACACTCAGAGGTTTTCTGGTGTGGCCCCATGGCTAATCACATGAATGGAAGCTCCGTGAGGACAGGAGTTTGTTCTGTTTTCTGCTGTACCCCAATGAGCTGAATTGATGGGCCAATCTTAGGCAGCTAGAATTGCAGACAGGCACCCAGGAGGACTTCTTCAGGCAGTTGACTTCACAGGTAAGGAGTCAGGTCGGAGAGGCCCCCTGCTGCCCTTGGCCCACGTGGTTCATCAGGACAGAACAGCCCATCCCTTTGTCACAGGAACCCCAGCTCCATGCTCTTGCTGCCTCTCCGAGGCCAGAAGGTGGCTTCACATGACGAATTTGGCTTGTTCTAGGAGGCAGCAGGCAAGACCACTGTTGTTCAGAAAGCCGGGCTTTGACTTTTGCTGTTCACTAAAGTCAGACCAGCCCTGTTTTTGGCCTCAACATTGGTTCCTTTATTTCACTGTATCCAGAGGTGACCTGGGATTCACTGGATGATGTTAGTGGCCTCCCCTCTGATGTTCCCTTTCAGGGTACCTACTGGGGACTGGGGACATGTCTAGGAAAAGGGAGGGAGAGGGACCCAGGTGCTGCACCCAGCAATGGTCTCTGTGGGCAGCACAGCTCTCCAGCATGGGGTGGGCCCATCATCCTCCCCAGCTCACATGGCACCCAAGAACTCGGAACAGCCTGGAAGAAACACTCAGTAGGAAGGAGATGCTTGGGATGAGCTCGGTTCTCACTAGCTGTATGACTTTGAACAGGCTTCTCTCTGCCTTCGTCCCACAGAGGACTTCGTCTGTGAGTCAGTCTGACTCCCACTGTGAAGCCCTTTTCTTAAAGCTAATTTGGAGATCTGCTGGCAGCCCTGATTGCTATTTTATTTTATTTTATTTTATTTTTTTCCTTTTTGTCTTTTTTCGTGACCAGTAACGGGATCGCAACCCTCAGTGTCGCGCCCGTACCGCGACCGGCAATGGGATCGTGACCCTCGGTGTCGCGCCCACACCGCGCTCAACCAGTGAGCGGACCGGTCTCTATATGGGATCCGAACCCTCAGCAGGAGCGCCGCCGCACTCCCAAGTGCCGCACTCTACGGAGTGCGCCACCGGGCCAGCCCATGATTGCTATTTTAAATCACAAGATCAGAGTAAAGAAGAGAAGGAAATTATGAATTAGGTGAAAAAGCACATTTTTCTAGATTTTCTTCTCAAATGAGAGGAAAGCAGAAGAACAGAGCTGAGGGCGGCAACTTTGCCCATGTGAGCGGATGAGGCCACCTGCATGTGTGACCGGACGAGGCTGCCACTGGCCTCCACACCATGGGGAAAGGAGCACAGTTCCCAGTGCCTTCCGCCTGCACGTCTGGGACCTTCTCATGACTCTGCACCAAATGTGACGGCCCATCCACGGAGCCACGACGTGCCCTTGATTTCCACAGTGCTTAGCTCAGAGGTGTGATGGGGAACAGACTCTCCAGGCTCCACCGCTCCACCTGCTCGAGAGTGCAGGGGCCTTGGTGAATGGTCACCATGGAAACAGCATCCATCCATCACTGTATCTCAGTCACTGCTTCTTTCATGAGCATGGCCCAGCGAGACAGACGTGAGGAAAAAACACAGATGTAAATGCACACCGTTCCAGAACAGTCCACTCACAAGAGGGCTCACCCCAAGCTGTTATTAAGTGTTAATATTCACTGGTTGTCCTTGGCTTAGGCAGAGGCAAAGCCTGACTAACCGTACATCACTCGGTGCTTGTCACAGATCACAAGTGTCACGTGGTTCAGATAGCAGAGTTCAATGTCTGGTGCATTCGCAGTGGAATCGCACCCCAGGGGATGCAGGCCTGCCATCCCTCCGTGTTTAGGCAGAGCAGTTAAATACAGCCCTGCCTGCTTTCAAGTGGGTTTTCTTAATCAAAGTAAAGCATCATGTAACTTAGAAGCCACTATCGTACGAGCTTGTTCTAATGCAGATGGCACTCCCTGCCCCTGCCCTCAGCCCCCTTTCTAGAAGCGTCCCTTTCACCCGCTGCTGCTGTTATTCCTGTGTGTGTGTGTGTTTCCTGATCCCTCAGTGGTGACATTATCTGCTGTCCTCCTACTAAGGAAGACGGGGCTCGGCTCTGTTCACCCCTGTGCTCCCTGCCGCTCGTCGTCCGCATTATACAGGCTGTGCTGATGTTGTTCCCTGCAGACCAAGAAGTAAACTTTAGTTTCACGTCCTCAACATACCCATTGTTTCCCCCGAGTTAACAAATCCCTCGCTTTTTCCTTTGCCTTAATTTCCATCCCAGTTGTCCCTTCCTCTACACATCACCCTCTGATGCCCCTCTGTCC